CCCCTCCCCAGCTTTCCTGGAGCCCCTCCAGGCACTGGAAGCTGCTCCAAGGTCTCCATGGAACCTTCTCCTCTCCAGTTGAACATTCCCAACTCTCCCAGCCCGACTCCAGAGCTGCTCCAGCCCTGGGATCATCTCCGTGGCCTCCTCTGGACTCATTCTGCCCAACTCCCAGCTCCCAGTGTCCCCTCTAGGGGCCAGTGAGCAGCAGAGCAGTGTCCTGGTGTCCCCAGCAGTGTCACCACGGGGGTGGAAGCTCCAGAAGGTGCCACTTCCCCCCCCTCCCTGACTCACGTGCTGGAGCATCAGGCCCCGGATGATGGAGCGAGCGCAGAGGATGAAGGACAGAGAACACACCAGGATGACCAGGACATCAAAGAACAGCCTGAAGGAGTTGTCACCTGCAGGACAGGTGGTGGCACCACTTACTGAGGGGACAGTCACCCAGGAGCACCCTGAGACCCCACGTAGCCCTTTGAGGGGGACAGATGCCACCTTTGTCACCTGCAGGAGGGGTGGTGGCACTTCTTACCAAGAAGTCACCCTGAGCCCCCCATGTAGCCCTCATGGGGGACAGATGCCACCTTTTGTCACCTGCAGGACAGGTGGTGGCACCTCTTACTGAGGGGACAATCACCCAGGAGCACCCTGAGACCCCACGTAGCCCTTGGGGGGGGAACAGATGCCACCTTTGTCACCTGCAGGACAGGTGGTGGCACTTCTTACCAAGAAGTCACCCTGAGCCCCCCACGTAGCCCTCATGGGGGACAGATGCCACCTTTGTCACCTGCAGGACAGGTGGTGACACCTCTTACTGAGGGGGAGTCACCCAGGAGCACCCTGAGACCCCACGTAGCCCTTGGGGGGGGAACAGATGCCACCTTTGTCACCTGCAGGACAGGTGGTGGCACTTCTGAGGGGGGGCAGTGACCCGAGAGAACTTCAAGCCCCCCCCAGAGCCTTTGAGGGGGACAGATGCCACCTTTGTCACCTGCAGGACAGGTGGTGACACCTCTTACTGAGGGGGAGTCACCCAGGAGCACCCTGAGACCCCACGTAGCCCTTGGGGGGGGACAGGGACAGGTTCCACCTTTGTCACCTGCAGGACAGGTGGTGGCACTTGCTACCGAGGGGACAGCCACCCAGGAGCACCCCAGGCCCCCCAGTCAGGCTCGGGGGGGGACACAGATGCCCCCCGTGCCCCCCAGGGGGTCCCCACCTCGGCCGAAGACGCTGGGGTCTTTGCACTCCTTGATGTCCGCCCGGTTCTCCAGGCGGATCCGCACGCGCCCGCTGTGGGCCTGGTTGTCAAAGGTGATCTGGGGACAGAGGGAACCCCCCCTGGCACCTCCAGCCTGATGGGTCCTCATCCCTGCGTGGCCACCAGGGACGTGGCCACCACGGTTGGGTCACCCCCGAGGGCTGGGCCACTCAGGGGGACCTGGACAGACTGAAGAGGAACCTCATGAGGTTCAAGCAGGGCAGGTGCAGGAGCTGCACCCAAGGAGGAACAACCCCAGGGAGCAGCACAGGGTGGGGGGACCTGCTGTGGGGCTGTGGAGCTGGAGAGGAGGAGCCTGAGGGGGGGTCTCCTCAAGGCTGCTCCAGATCTCCAGGGGGGCAGGAGGGGGGGACCAGGCTCTTCTCAGCAGTGCCCAGGGCCAGGACAAGGGGCCATGGGCAGCAGCTGGAACATGGGAAGTTGCAGCTCCCCAGGAGGAGGAAGTTGTTTCCTGGGAGGGTGGCAGAGCCCTGGGCCAGGCTGCCCAGAGAGGCTGTGGAGTCTCCTGCTCTGGAGACATTCCCAGCCCGGCTGGTTCCTGTGGGATCTGCTGGAGGTGACCCTGCTCTCCAGGTGGGGTTGGACTGATGATCTCCAGAGCTCCCTGCCCACCCCACCCCCCTGTGTCCCAGGGCACTCACGGTGATGGTGAAGGTGTAGCAGTCGGGGATCTCATTGTTGATGATGGTTTGGATGTTGATGGCCTTCAACTTGAATTGGATGGTGACATTGATGAGCCTGCCAGTTGGGGACACTCCTCAATCCTCCTCCTGGGTCTTGGCCAGGGTGTCTCAACCCCCCCAGAACCCCCAAAACATGTCACCAAGGGTCAGAGAGGGGGTGACCACCCTCCCCGGGGTGTGCCCAGCCCTGGGATGGGGTGGCCTCAGCTTTAGAGGAGCCAAGTGCCACCAACCTGCCCCAACCTCAGGGCATTTTTGCTTTGAGGGGGAGGTTGCACCTTCTGGAGCTGCTCTGGATCTCCTGGCTCTGGTGGCACCAGGATCCCTCTGCCCAGCACAAACACAGGGCCTGCTCACCCTCATAAGGCCTCCATTACCACATGGCTTGGCCAGAGGCCACCAAAAGGCCACCAAACACCAGAGCAGGGCTTCAGGGAAGGGAGAAGAACCCAAAATAACCCTCAACATCCGGTGGGTGCTGCTGGGAAACAACTGCTGGGTTGGACAGTCCCTTGGGTTTCACATCTCCTTTGGAACATGATGGGAGGAGGTGGTGGGAGAGGAGGTGGAGGTGGGAGAGGAGGTGGAGGTGGGAGAGGAGGAGGAGGTGGTGGGAGAGGAGGAGGAGGTGGGAGAGGAGAAGGAAGTGGGAGAGGAGGTGGTGGTGGGAGAGGAGGAGGAGGTGGGAGAGGAGGAGGAGGTGGTGGGAGAGGAGGAGGTGGTGGTGGGAGAGGAGGAGGAGGTGGGAGAGGAGGAGGAGGAGGTGGGAGAGGAGGAGGAGGTGGTGGGAGAGGAGGAGGAGGAGGTGGGAGAGGAGGAGGAGTCCCTGCTCCAGGTGACAAGGTGTCCCCAGCAAACCCTGGGACAGGCTGGATGGTGGTGGCCATGGAGGAGCTCCAGGAAAGCTGGGGAGGGACTTGGGCCAAGGGCAGGAGTGATGGGACCAGGGGGGATGGCTTGAAACTGGCAGAGGGAGCTGGAGGTTGGACCTGAGGAGGAAATTCTTGTCTGGGAGGGTGGGGAGAGCCTGGGCCAGGGAAGCTGTGGCTGCCCCATCCCTGGAAGTGTCCAAGGGCAGGTTGGATGGGGCTTGGAG